CTCTGGTCTAGCTGGGATTTGTAAGGTAGAATTGGGATCATGATAGTAGTGGGGGTGGGGGTGGGGGGAGCAAGCATTAAAGAACTGGAGGAAAAGTTGTATGTTTAATCATTGCTATACTGCACCTTGACTGGCTCATCTCTTCCCTGCGACCCTTCTATAACAGGATGTCCAGTTGCCTACAGATGGGCTTTGGGTCTCCACTCCATACTACCACTCATTGCAATGATACGATTTTTCTGTTCTTTGACGCCTGATACCTGATCTCATTGACACCTTGTGATCACATAGGCTGGTGTGCTTCTTCCATGTGGGCTTTATTCCTTCTCAGCTAGATGGTCACTTGTTTAGCTTCAAGCCTTTAAGACCCCTGACGCTGTATCTTTTGGTAGCCACCTTCTTCACATTTTCTTATGCACCCATTTGTCTTCAGCTGTTGTGTCGGGAAAGTGAGCATCATGGAATGCCAGTTTAATAGAGCAAAGTGTTCTTGCATTGAGGGGGTAGTTGAGTGGAGACCCAATGTCTATCTGCTACCTTAATACTAAACCTATAAATATATGCACATAGATCTATTTCCCCACCTTCATCTATAAATATTACATACATATATTTACATATGTACATACATGTACACTATCATGCTCAGCCTTCATTTGGGTTTCAGTAATTCCTCTCTGTTACATTGCCCTTGATCAAACCCCACCAGGCCTCCATGCCCCCACCACCACCCCCAACAGTCACTCCCATTGTTTTCTCCTCTGGATTGTTTATCCTGCCTATCTTATCTAGATAGATGTGCAGAGATAATATGCACATAAACAAGACAGCAAAACAAAGCAACAACAAAAAACCAAAGACAACAAAAAAGAAAAGCTTGTAAAGAGTTCAAGGTCTGTTTGTTGACCTTTAGGAGTGTTTTTCTGTTGAGTCTGATGGGGTGCCAAGCCTTGGCCCCAAAGTCTGTTTTTGGTACTCCCTCAAGACTTCCTTGCTCTGCTCACCTTGCTGTTCTGTTGAACACCCCTAGTGTTTTGCCTCAGTGTGGTGGATTCAGATAGAGTGCAATTCCTGCACTGTTTCCAGTGTTGTCCCCCGTAGGGCTATGGGTCAGTGAGGGATGTTGTGTTTCACAGTGGGGCGAGCCATATGGTCCTCTCTGAGCGGGGATATCATCCTCAAGGCTTGGTGGGCCAGGATGTGTTCCACTCTCTTCCTCCCCCTTCATTTGTTCCTGTGTGCTCTGATCAGACACGTCCCTCTCCGTGAGTTGTAGTTTCAATGCTGTCCTCTGAAGTAAATTCTCCTGCGGGGAAGAGGATGCTGTCCACATAGTTGGGATTGGGGCTGGCCCCTCAGAAAAATGACACTTCTAATTTGAGTTCTCCCCAAGGTGGTTGGCCGGGCAGCTGCCTAATGTGGATATCACAAATTCACATTCCTTACCATTTTTTAATATTTATCATGTGTAACAGCGTATTCTAAGCACCTGTAGCAGTGTTATATGTATAAAAAATTAGAACTATGCTTGTAATATTTATTCGTTTTGTAAAATTCATAATACTTTGATGAAATACTACATTTTTACTTCTTTGCATTTGTTACTTCAGAAAACAAACGACATATGAAGTGCCAAAGTACCAGAGGGTGACATACTGTTATTCGTTTCAGCCTGTGTGTTATGACTCATATTCCATGAGATATTATGAGTGAATTATGCAATTCCTTAGAGTGTTCATAGAGCTAACTATATTGTCAGAACAATTGCTGTAAGTTCAGCAGAAGCAGAAAGGAGTTTTTCAAAGATAAGCATACTGTATGTACTCGAGTATAAGCTAACCCGAGTATCAGCCGAGGTACCAAAAAAATTTTTTTTGAGGCAAAACCTCAAAAACTGCATAAAAAATGTGCTGAGAAACTTGGCTCATACATGAGTATATGTTGTAATATATTCAGAGAAGTTGCTTGTTCCAATATATAAACATGATGACTACTGTCTAATTGTCCCACCTCTAAAGCAGTGGTTCTCAACTTTTCTAATGCTGTGACCCTTTAATACAGTTCCTCATGTTGTGGTGACCCCCAACCATAAAATTATTTTCATTGCTACTTCATAACTGTAATTTTGCTTCTGTTATCAATCAGGCGACCCTCGTGAAAGGGTCGTTCAACCTCCAAAGGGGTCTTGACCCACAGGTTGAGAACTGTTGCTCTAAAAGGAATGGGGTACTACTCCTACAATGAAGAGAGGGTTAAGGATAAATCACACAGTTTATGATGCTCAGATAAAAGCGAAGAAGAATATTGCAAGTGAGGAAGTCAATAAAGAAGCAATATGAAAATGCTTAACAATTTTATTGTTTCTGGTCAGGTATTATTTAATACTTTTGATTAATATTTTAAAGCTCTTACAACATAATCTAGGTTTGCGTAGCTCTTTTATTTAAGTATTAACTTTGAGAAATAATAAACTACCTTTTGGTATTTTTTTTCAAATACTTAGGACAATCATTAGAGCAGCGAACTGGTTGTTCAATTATTTTAATCCCACCACTGACTGACAGCATCCAACATCCAATGCACTGGGCAGGTGTGTCACCAGGTGTTGGTTAGAAACTAGGTCAAAAGTGTCCAGTTAGGAACCCAATACCAGCTGTATTCTTCCTCTGGTGTTTCTCGCAGTAATAAGTATTTTACTCAATGGCAGGGTGCCCCACTCATCTTACCCGTCAAAAGTGTGATGGCTTTCTCCAAATGCAGACATGGTCTGCCCCTGCTTTCACCTGATTTCCCAGAGCAGTTCTACTCTGTTCTAAAGGATTGCTTTGAGTCTGCTCTGACTGATGACAGTGAGCTTGATTTTTTTGGTTTGAGCTGAGTCTTAAAGCATAGTACTTGGGTAGCAATCTACAAACTCATTGCCATCACGTCAAGCTGACTCTTAGCAACCCTATAGTGCAGGGTAGAATTACCCTGTGGGTTTGGAGACTGTAAATCTCGATGGGAGTAGAAAGCATCATCTCTTCCACAGTGGCTGGTGGTTTCGAACTGCTGACCTTGCAGTTAGCAACGCAAAGTGTCGTCCACTTAAATTCAACATTGTTAACCATGTACTAGGGGCTGGTTATGCAAACATAATAGCCATGGTCACTGTGAACAGAATCTTAGGAAGGGGGTTCAAAAAGTTCAAGGAAAAATTCTATTATCTTTTAGTTCCATTTTACTGCAAATTTGTTTGAAGCCAACTGGTGGGGCAATTTCTACAGAGCAATAGACAAGCATACAAATCAAATGGCTAGAGAGATCAAGAAGTTTGTTTTGAGGTGGTGTCAGATTAAAGTTCTCATCTGGCTTCCACTTATTGCCTGGGATTTTGAACTAGTAACCCCTTGGTGTCAGTTTCCTCCCTGGTACAATGGGGCTTATGGGTTTTCCTTCACTTTGTATTTCTGGAAGGCTGGACTGCTCAGGGGGACTTAGCCTGGTGGTGTTCCTCTCCAATCCCAACGTCGGGTAGAGTTTTCTACCAAGTGGTGCCTTTCTCAGGAGCTAAATGTCCAGTGGAACGCCATTCAAATGGAGAGATCAGTTCTCCAAAGCCCCGCTTCGCCCCGCCCCTTTCAGGTTCCAAAGATGGGCCCTGCAAAGCCCCGCCCCCTTCAGGTCCCAAGGCGGGCCATGTCGCTAGCCTTGCGCTCTGCAGTTCCAGGAAGAGGCGGGCCATCACGTGCGTGGCCCCGCCCTCACGTCCACGTGACCGGAGGACGTGACGCGGGACGGGTTACGTAAACGGGCCTGGGCCCGCCCAAAGTGATGAAGGCTGAGTGGCCGGAGGGGGGATGTCTGGCTGGGGCGGTGAAGGGGCGTGGCTTCGCAGCTTGGAGGGCGTCCACGCACAGGCCCTGCCCCTTCGGCCGCTGCCTCCGGGCGCCAAAAATCAAATCTCGCAGCCTGAGACCGGTTCGCGGGCGACCGGCGGGTTCGTTTAGGTCTGCAGCAGCGCAAGTCCTCGGGCGGACACGCCCGCATCCGCGGCCCACAGGCAGCCCTTCCTGCCCGCGGGCTCGGAGTAGCAACCCGACTCAGAATGGCCACCCCGCCCAAGAGGAGCTGCCCGTCGCCCGTGACCATCGCTATGGGGACCCACATCAAAAAAATCGCCGTCGAAGGGAACATCGGTAAGAAGTCCCAGGACGTGCTAGGGTCAAGGCGGGGAAGTCATGGCCGCTGCTGCAGCGGCCTCTTTGCGGGTGCTTTCGCTGCTGCTTCTGTGGGACGGCGGGCTGGCTTCCCTTCCCGCCCGTGGCGCTTCCCCGCGCGCGCGCGCGCTCCCCTCGCGCCCCGGGAGCTGTCCCGCCGCGTTCAGAACGCGCCCAAACCAAGCCCAAGCTCCCGGCAGTGGTCGCTTCCGACTGTAGCCCCCGAGGGCCAGGGTACAACTTCCCCTTTGGGATTCCCAGGTTGTAACTCTTCCCAAACGCCGAACCACACGCACCGCCCTGGAGTACATCCCGGCTCACAGCGAGCCCATAGAAAGCCTCGTTTCAAACCGCTGACCTTGTGCTTAGCAGCCCGACAGGTAACCGGCGCTGCCACCAGGGCCCTTGAGAACGCTGCAAAGGCGTTCTTTTGCTGCTGTACCACAGGGCTTTTTAAAAGGTCAGGTGTAAAGTTAATTTCTGTCTTAATAGCTTTATTCTTCAGTGTGGCTTATAAGGTTGTGTACTCACCACCCCCAAGCAAAGGAGAGAACATTACCCTCATCTCGAAAGGCTGCCTTGAGTTGCTCCATTGTCAGCGCCTGCCCCATTCCTAACCTCTTGGCAACTGCTGATTTTCACCTCAACTAACAAACAAGTTACCAGGTGTTTCCCAGTCCTGACGACCTCATGGCTGTTCAATAGAACTGTGCTCATTCCATAATGTTTCCAAAGCCAAGGACACCAGGCCTTTCTTCCAAGGCACCTCTGGGGTGGATATTTATGCCCCTGATTGTCAACTTTTCAGTCAGTGGCTTAGCTGATTGCTCTACCCAGGGACTCCTCTGTGCGGGTTTTGCCTTTCTCAACATGCCGTCTAATTGGAGTCATAGAATACAGTTGCCCCTTACTTTGTGTGGGGTATTGGTTCCAGGCTCCTGTGGATATTGAACTACAGGGATAACCTACTCACATCCTCCAGGACACTTTAAATAATATTTCCCCTCCCCTCAGCATTTGAGGGATGGGTTTGACCAATCTATTGCTTCCCTGCTGTAACACCCCGCCCCATATTTTCTATTTGTAATCTGCAGTTGTGGAACCCTATACATGTCGTACCTACTGTAACTTTTGTTTGTTCGACTTCTCTCATGTAGCATAATGTTTCTGATAATCATTTCTGATGCCCTGTCAGTGAGTGTGTGCCTTTCTGTGTGCTGAGTAGCACCCCATTGCGTGAATATATATACTGCACTTTGTTTAGCATCTGTGGACATTAGGATTCCACCCCACCCCCACCCCCACTTTCTGTTACTAATCAATTAACAGGTTCCTCCCTCGCCACCCAGCATCCAAGTAAACATTGGGTGGGCTATGATTTAAGGATCACTAATGGTTTGGGACCGTATACCATGAATGTCACTTTGCAAGGTACATGGGAACTGTATTCTTCACTGTAGTGTCATACCACAAAAAAAACGGTCTGGCACTTCCTGTTTTGATAAGAAAAGAACCCACCGTGCAGTCAAATTCCAGAGGGCCATCCCTGGGGCATCTCTTGCTGATATAATGGCCAAGAGGAATCAGAAACCTGAGGTTAGAAAGGCCCAACGAGAGCAGGCCATCAGGGCTGCCAAGGAAGCAAAAAAGGCAAAGCAGGCTTCTAAAAAAAGACAGCAATGGCTGTCTTTGATAGATTTTTATTCATGCATGTAGCAAATGTTTTTTTCTTCTTTTTAAAATTCTTACCAATTTGACCACATTTTAAGCACGTGTGCCTTCTTGAAAAAAGTAAGGCAAACAGATGTTTTAATGGCATTTAAAGGAATGGAAAACTCAAACTACCCTCAAAGATGCCTTCCCTTTGTTTCATTGCTCGAGTATTAAAACACCAGAGGAAAACTCAGTTATTAGAAGGCCCTCATTTTTTCTTGGGAGAGTAAATACTTGTAGGTGGGTCTTTATTAGTGTGGTGTTTTCAAAGTTATTTATTGGATGATGAAAGCCATAGATCAAGACAGAGAAAAGTAGTTGAACAAAACTATCTCAAAAGTAAATTTTAATGAACAACCCCATAGGTCAGTACCCCAGTGAATGAATTTCCCTCTCTCAAATCTAGTTAGGAAGCATATCAAGAAATCTTTCCCTCAAGCATTTTTAGCTTGTGAGCACTTCCTCAAAGGTAATCCATTTCTGATTTTCTAACTACAAATGTGATATTTCTCTTCTGTTTAAAATTTTTCGTTGACTTCCCCGTCACCTACACTGAAACAGGAGTGTAAACTGATGGCCGGCCTATATTTTCACAGTATTGGGCCTGATTACTTTGAAAATATTTTTTTAACTACCTGGTAGTATTTTAATATCACAGTTTCACATAAACATCTAGATCAGGGGTTGGCAAACTGGCTGTCCAACTGAAAAATTTTAAAGAATATTCTTCAACTACTGGTGATTTCATTTGTTTGTAAAAATGTATTTATGGCTCTTGAATAATTTTTAAATTGTTGTGAGGGATAAGATTTGCTCTTCCATTTCAAAAGTTTGCTAGCCTCTGATCTAGATCATAGGTTCTGGAACTTATTTGACCTGTGGCTCCCTTTTCAGACAAACATTTACTCAGAACATCCTAGCAGTTATAGTTTTGTGCTGACGCCCATAATCCAGGATAAAGTGTTGGTATCTGCCTTTTGCACCTTCCCTAGATTGTTCCAGAGCCCATAGCCCAGTATCACCCACTTTGGGAAACACTGGTCTAGATTCTTGGCTTTCTTAGAGAAATCCGAAGATCAGGTTCCATTGGACCTGCATTTCTTGGTGACAACAATTGATCTTTAGACGGGGCATATCGGGGCATATTCTCCAGTAGTACTGGCTTCCTGTCACTAAGGCTTTGCCAGTTGCTATTTATTGTGTTGCTCTTCTACTGGATTGATTATAAAATTAACAGGAAAGAAATATACCCACCCCTTTTAGTCATTTACTTTCCCTTCTGACCCATGTTGACCTGTGACATATGGCTAAGGATGTAATTTGCATGCGCTATAAGACTAGGGCCACTGCAGCCATAATGGGTTACCAATGGAGCAGTTAACTGTGGCAAGGTGAGCAGTTTGAAACCACCAGGCGCTCCGGAGAAAGTTGAGGCTTTCTGTTCCTATGAAGATTTATAGCCTCAGAAACCCACAAGATCCGTTGTACTTTGTCCTGTAGGGTCCCTATGAGATAGGAACGTCTCAATGGCAGTGAGTTTTTTTTATAAGACCCTTTCAACTCCTTGTTCCCTTTGGTTCTTTTGCTCCCCTCCACTAGCCCACTTTGAAAACTGGAGGGGAGGGTCATAGCTGACTTTCTCTGGCTTCCCTATTGCTGCAAAGAAGAAATCATACTCCTGTATCTATTTGACACCAGCTGTTCCTCCCACTCTACTTCTGTCCTAGGTTCAGTAATTTGTTGCAATGGTTACACAGAACTGTGAGACAAAGCTCAAAATTATGAGGATTTATGAGGGAAGTTAGTAGGTTACCACAAGTCAGGATCAGTAAACTTCGTAAGCCTGGTACAGTCACTGGTCCCCATCAGCACCTCACCTCCGCTAACAGCCAAGTTTCTCTCTATTTGAATTTTCCTTCTCTGGGCGATTTCTGTTTTACATAGGTTCCAGCTGTCTCAGGCTGGAGTATATGTTGAAATTTATGTTTGTGAGCTCTATCAGAAGACAGTGGATGCTCGGTCCTTAAGGACGTTCTCACTCCAGAGGATGCCTGATTTTTGGATCTTTTCTTTGGGTGCTCTTTCTGAACACTCATTAATCTTTGCTTCTTCCATTTAGCTTAGTGATTGTTTGGTGATCATTTTAAGTGTTTGCATATATTCTTCCAAATGCCTTGTAACTCTGTTTGCTCTTTAGCTGCATCCATAATTATGAGGTCACCATTGTTTTGCCATAAGTAAATCTAATAGTCATTCTACTTTGTCTGAATGTTTTTCTTCCTTCCTCACGGGATAATTGACATTGTACTTTGCTCAACTATTCTGGGATTTTTCTATTTTTATTCATACTTTGCTTTCTCTGTTGTGATCTTTAAACTTCCCTGTTACCTTATACATATAAGGTCATAGGTTTTCTATTCTTGCTTCCAATTACGGTGCCCTTGAGGTACAGTGGTTCAAAGCACATGGCTGCTAACCTAAACTTTGAAATCACCAGGCAGTCTACTAGACATCGATGTGGCCGTCTGTTAAGATTTACAGCCGTGGTGGATGTACTCTGTGTATAGGGACTCTCAGAGCTGGGGTCCGCTCGGCAGCAATACTGTTGTTAGGTGCTGTCAAGGAGCCTCCAACTCACAGCACCCCTGTGTACAACAGAATGAACCCCCCAGTCCGGCGCCATCCTCACCACTGTTCTTACGTTTGAGCCTGTTGTTTCAGCCACTGTGTCAATCCAACTTTCCAAGGGCCTTCCTCTTTTTTTGCTGCCACTAAACTCTACCAAACAGGATGCCCTTGTCCAGAGATTAATCTCTCCTGATGAACATGTCCAAAGTACATGAGGTGCAGTCTAGCCATCCTTGCTTTTAAGGAACATTTTTGTTCCAAGACACATTTGTTTCTTCTTTTGGCAGACCATGGTATTTTCAATATTCTTCTCCAGCCCCATAATTCAAATGCATCAATTCTTCTACGGTCTTCCTTATTCAATGTCCAACTTTCACATCCATCTGAGGCCATTGAAAATACCAGAGATTTGGATTTGTGGTTTGGCTTAAGTTTCATAAGGAAGAGGAGGCTTTGCTTAGAAATATACCAGAATTATTCATATGTTCTACATATGTATGCCACTTACAGAGGTAGAGAGGTCTATATGTCCCGTTTGGTGACTTCAGATAGAAAGGGTGTGGTGTTCATTAGAAATATTGCCACACCCTGTTGTATGTTAGGTCAAGACTACTCTTACTATTTAAATTATTAGAAGGTAATTTTTAGAATGGGGAATTATAGTATGTCTTGGTTTTCTTTTTTTGCTCTATATATGTCTGAGGAATTAATGATCAGGGAAAAGTGAAGTGTATATATTGTTTGTTTTTTAGGATAGGATTGAGTAAACGTGAAGCAGAGACACTGGTGAATACTTGTGTGAAGTGCTTTGCAAGGAATATATTTGCTAAATTTTTTACAGTTTCTGTTAGTGCCTATTTAAAAACAAACCAATTGCTGTTGAGTTGATTCTGACTCATGGTGACCCAACCCCTTGCAGAGTAGAACTATGTTTGGTTGGATCGTCATGGCTTTGACCTTACAATAATACTATTTTAATTTCTAAAATCCTGGTCATTAGATGCATCTTCATGATAATTTATTTGACCATTTATTAAAAAGAGAGAAGCTCATTTCTAGACTGAGTGGATGTAGCCAGCGAAGAAGAAAATATGAAAATGCAAAAGCCTGACTCATTTATGGGGACTTTACTTGGTTGTGATATTTAACCATCACAGCAGTTTCCAGAAGGAAGGAATGGCTCAGAGGGATTAAAGAACTTGCCCCAAGTTACACCCCAATAAGTGGTAAAATAGCTTTAACCAATCCCTACAAAGCTCTCTTTCATTGGTTGGCTAAGGAAAGCGAGTCTAGGACTAGGATATTTTCTGCTGTAACATCTTGCCTAGAATTTTCCCATGTTTTAAAATCTCACCCACAGAATTTCTAAACAATAATAAATGTGGAATTGGATCCTTTTAGCTTACATTAAGAAAAAAATTCAAGAAATTGAATGTTATTTGTGTGTGAGTTAAGATTTCTATAATAAATTTTGTAAAAGACATTCGGATTTTGGCTGTTTCAATTTCTGGTAAATTCCCTCTAACTTTTACCTTTCCCCTCAACAGGTGCAGGGAAGTCAACATTTGTGAATATCCTTAAGAAAGTCTGTGAGGATTGGGACGTGGTTCCTGAACCTGTTGCCAGATGGTGCAATGTTCAAAGTACTCAAGATGAATTTGAGGTAAGAAAATGAACCTTAACTAAGTACACTAAAGCAACTTTCGTTTGGAGGAGTGTTGCTGTTCTTGGCTTTTTGTTTTAAAACTTTTTCCAATACAACTTTCAAATCTAACTTTAACTCTATTTTCATCTGAGCCATGGTTACATGAGTAGTGGTATTTCATTCTGTACATAGGATTACTTAGAACCTAAAAACCTTCATTTGCACATATAGCTTTTTGTTAGGTTTTATTTATTATAAATTATAAACTTATTGATTTAATTTTAATTGGGAGTTATTACATATATATTCCATAGTTCAATCACGTCAAGCAGTATTATAATTGCTACCATAATCAGTTTCCAAACATTCTTTTTCTGCCACTTGTAGCTTTTAAATCTGCCCACTTTTGCCTTAAACCAAAAACCAAACTTGCTGCCATTGAGTCGATGCTGACTCACAGTGATTCTTTGGGGCAGGGTAGAACGGCCCCTGTGATTTCTGAAACCGGAACCTCTTGTGGGAGTAGAAAATGCCATCTTTCTCACTGAAGCAGCCAGTGGTTTCAGACTGGTAACCTTGCATTTAGCCCAGTGTGTAACCACTTCACCACCAGGCCTCCTTTTCTTGTGTTAAAGGAAGGCTAACCATCTGCATCTGTTCTGACGCACCTAAAAATTCCACTTTAAGATTGGCTCAGGAACCAACGGCTACCGCTATAACCCCATTGCCGAGTCAGTTTTAATTCTTTTTACTTTTACCCTGAACACCACAAGTTTTAATTTCCTAGCACTTTTCCATTCTCTACTGCAAATGAGAAGAAAAGTAGATTTATTCAATGAGAGAGAACAGGGATAACAAATTGTGTTTTTTATAGCAACATTTTTTATTTGTTGGGGTTGTGTGTATGTATGAATGTGTAAGAAGAAGAGCAAGTTTGGATTCATTGATTTGTGTTTTAGCCAAGATTTGAATATAGAGAGAAGTGAAAATGGAAAGAAATAGATACAAGACTAAATTAAAAATAGAATTGTGTGCTAGAAACTTACATTTTTAGATCTGAGGATAAATCTGCTACCATCAAAAAGATTCCCATGGTTTGCAACTCTCTCCCTAGGGATACAGCAGCAGAAAGCTGTGTCTCCCCCATGGAGAGTCTGGTGGGTTTGAATTGCTGACTTTGGAGTTAGCAGCCCAGTTATGAAACTGGGACTCCAAATCTGAGAATAGAGGATTGGCTGGGGGCTTATTTTAAGGCTTAATTGATGGACCCCCCAAATCAAAAAACCGAACCCTTAGCCATCAAGTGGTTCTGACTGTGGTTAGAAGTTCAAGGTTTACCTAAGCACCACTAGAGCTCTTTTGTATTAGATGAGGGGAAATATAATGTCTTGTCTCTTATTGTTAATTGTGGAGTTGGCTTGCTAACCACAAGGTCAGCAGTTCAAACCCATCAGCTCTCCATGGGAGAAAGATGAGTTTTTTGTTCCCGGAAAGATTTACAGCCTTGGAAACCCACAGGGACAGTGACTCTCTTAGCAGAGGCCCCTGACTCATGTGGCTGCATGCATAAAGGTGCCTGCATGCGATGTGCACTGACCAGGAATAAAGTCTGCTTCCCCAGTGAAAGGCCAGAATTCTACCACTGAACCAGCCTCCCCTCCCCCTTTCTTATTTTAGTGTTCAAATTAGTCAATTCAGGTGTTATTAGTCTAAGCGGTCCATTACAAAAAATTCTATCAGTTTTTCCTTAATGAATTCCGGAATTATTTTTAATATTCAGGGGGAGAATACCCAATAAGCAAGGTAAATACAGACTGACTTGTGCTTACTTACTCTCTAGCAAACAACTTTATATGGGCTTTGTCATGAGTGTATTTGCTATAGGTCAGTAAGCATTATTACCATGTGTTTGTTTACCTGTTTTTACTGCGTACTCTGTCCTGTTGAGAATTATTTGAAAAGAGGCTTTATTTGTAGGGTGGTGCTATGGGGTTGGGAGAGAAACAGATGCCAACCATACCTAGAAACAGACTCTTTGAAGTGATAAAAATGTGAAATTGTTCACTACAGATAGTAGGCACCAAATCAGCCCATGCTATCATGTTTCGTGGGTCATCCAACACTGTTGAGATTGTAGTCAGTGCTATGTTGCGTTGGTTATTGCAAAAGCTGGTAATGTTATTCTGGAGTCGAATGTATGAACTGGAATTTGTCTCTAAAGAGGACTTTTTCCTTATCAACTAGTTCATTACTCTGAAATAGCATTCAGACAGAATAGACCAGGATAAAAGGCTTGATTAAGAAGGTTTTTTCTCTTTATCTACAAAATTTCAGCATAACTAATGGGTGTCCTAAAAACCTGTTGATTTTGACTCAGAGCTATCCTATGTAAGGTTTCTAAGACGAATGAGAGCAGATAGCTTCATCTTTTCTCACTGAGCAGCTAGTAGTTTTGAACTACTGACCTTGAGGTTACCAGCCCAGAGCCTAACCCCCAGTGCCATGGTGTCCAAGTGACCTCCTAAGATATCTAACATGATTTAAATTTGTGTAATATTATAAGCTAACCGATTTTGTGTTGTCATTGTTTTGGATGTCTACATTGTCTCATCACTGACCAGTGGAAACCCGTTCATTTTGGCTTCGTTGCCCTTGATGCGTCCCCACCTGTCTTTGACAGGTTCCTTGTTCTCCTGCAACAAGAAATTCCTAGTCACTTTTACATTTCTCTTGTAGACCTATTACCAGCTCTGGAATTTTTTCCTTTCACAGGGAAATGGTATTTATAGATCAGAATCTGAGTGATAGATATACAGCCATTGCTTCTGAGTTTTCATTATTTTAGTGGTCAGAGCTAGAGAATCTGTTTCATAGAAAAATAATTCATAAGTTCTTTATGCTATTTGCAATTCAGATGTAAAGTTGCAGTTTCTATTTAATTTTTAAGCTTACATTTGTCTTTTTAAACAAATGAAACTAAGTTTAAAAAAATACGATTATTGAGTTGTAAAATACTTGGGATAATCTCTTGTCTTTTTAGGAGATTGGGTTGACGGTTTCCAATGCTTGAGGGCCAGGTAGCTACGAGGGAATTAGCTTATGAGAGTTAATGAGAATGGTGGGCGCAGGTAAGCTGGAGAGCCTGTGTCCTATGTGACAGGGCCATGTGTGAATTTGCTCCAGCTCATTTTCACCATAAGAAAATATAGGCAGAGTATTACTTGGAATTTAATTTTTAAAAGAAGGTAGAAATCTAGGAATTATATGTCAAATTACTTAGGTTTGTACATTGAAAACTAGTTAAAAGTTTTTAAAAGTCTTGTTGGGGGCAAACAATTTTTTCCCCCACAGTTAGCAGTCTGTGGCTTCTTCTGAGAAAGTGCTGAGCAATTTGTAATTTGTGCCAGCTTTTCAGTATCTTCCAGACCTTAGCCTACTTGAAAGGTACACTGTGAAAGAATATGATTGAAGCGGATTTAATCATCCTACTTTTGTTGACCATGATGCATTTGTTAATAAATCCACGTTTGATTTTTGAGCCCTTCCTTTTTTTTGCGGGGATGGTCATTAATTTTCCTTTTTTTCAAATTCAAAATAGGAATTGACAACATCTCAAAAAAGCGGTGGCAATGTTCTTCAGATGATGTATGAGAAACCCGAACGCTGGTCTTTTACGTTCCAGTCATATGCCTGCCTCAGTCGGATACGAGCTCAACTTGCCTCTCTCAATGGCAGGCTCAGAGATGCAGAGAAACCTGTATTATTTTTTGAGCGATCAGTGTATAGCGACAGGTATTTATAATTTGCTTGTACTTGTCTATTTGGATTTTTTTTTAACTAAGAATTGGTCTTTTTTCTATTCAGCTTTCCTGGAAATCAAATTACTCTGCAAGCTGGGAATTTGATATGGAAAATTTGATTTGGAAGTTCTAACTCGTAGAAGAGGAGTTCAGGCAGTGCAGTGATTAGAGTTGAGCTGCGGTTCATAAAGTCTGCAGTTTGAAAGCACCGGCCATCCCTCTCATGAACAATTAGTCTCGGATAGTCACAGGGCAGTTCTGCTCTCCTGTAGCGTCATTAGGAGTCCGCATCACCTTGATGGCAGTGAGCCTGGTTTGGTTTTTGGTAGCTTGTAGAACCCATAGTCATTCCAGTTGATTTCAATATGGCATTTGTGACCCTATATAGCAGGGGTGTCAAATTCAATTAAAACGCGGGCCATTTGGTGCAACAGGCAAGATTCATGTGGAGGATCACATCACATTTACAAATTTTGCTATATTTTGAAGTGAGGATTCAGGAATATGGAAAGGATAATTAAAACACTATAGTTGCTTTTATTTAAACATTTAATATATTTATAAATCTAAAATTATTCTTTTTTCCCCCCAAAACTTTTCCTCCCTAGTTTTCCAATATCTGGATTCAAAGACTGAGAACAGACAATCTTCATTAAGGCAGATAGATGTTTATCAGTTAATCTTGATCTGTATATCATTTTATTTAATTTCATGGACGAAAAGAGTTGCTCACACAATGGCTTCCCTCCAAAAATGTTAACTAGCGCTGCTGCTAGGTATGACTCATAACAGCACAACCCAGAGTGCTCTTTTTTACCTTTTCGCTGTTGGGATCTGTTTACATGACGTGACACTGAGAGTGGCAGACATATGGCTTCCAAATGTCGCTGGAAGGGAGTCAGCGCATTTATACACATCCATAGGCCCCCAGGAAAGGCACTGGGCCACGTGTATTGTCATCTTCAGAAGTTAAAGGGTTAATGTGGGAATTATGTGTACTATATTGTCTCGATTTCCCCTAAGCGCTATTTTCTTCATAACAGTGTTTTTTATTTTCATTTTATTTCAGAGCATCGCGGGCCACAAAAAATTACCTCAAAGGCCACATGCGGCCCATGGGCTGCCAGTTTGACACCTCTGCTATATAGCTTTTCCAATCCTATAGATCTTTATGGGGCAGACAGCTTCATCTTACTCCCCAGCTGAGGTTGCTGGGTTTGAACCAGATGGTGGGGTTAGCAGCTTAACCCACAACTTCCAACAATATCTAGACTTCATGGGAACCCTAGGGAATATGATTGTTATTTCACTCAAATTTAAAGGAAGTTTTGTTCCCCCTCCATCCCTTTTAAAATTTTATCTGCTCTGGAGATAAAAGTGTCTGGATCTATGTTCTCGACTCACCTGAACCTTAGAATTGCCCTGTTTATGTAAGAATCTTGTTGACCTTCAAAGTGAGCTCATAGTAGTGGTTTTCAAACATTTTAGTCTTAGCACTTGTTACATGCTTTATAATTTTAGAAAAGCCGAGAACTTAGGATTTAATTGATATGTGTATTTTTAGAAACAAAGAAAATGTAATTTAACGAAACGATTACAAGGGACTATATGTGACCTCCTCCCTGGGGGATGGACAACAGAAAAGTGGGTGAGCGGAGACGTTGGACAGGGCAAGATATGACAAAATAACAATTTATAAACTATCAAGGGCTCATGAGGGAGGGGGGAGCGGGGAGGGAGGGAAAAATGAGGACCTAATGTCGGGGGTTTAAGTGGAGAGAAAATGTTTTGAGAATGAAGTACAAATGCGCTTTACACAATTGATGTGTGTATGGATTGTGATAAGAGTTGTATGAGCCCCTAATAAAATGTTTAAAAAAAATGTAATTTAAAGTTGTAATTAATACCATTATGTACTAATACAAATAATGTACTTCTGAATTAAAAAGTAAATTATATTTTCCAAAACATCAAATAATTAGGAGTGTGATATTACACATTCATAAAAATTTTAAATATCTGGCTTAATAAAAAAACTATATTCTTGTATTTGGTTCTGCATTCAGTCTGCTGTGATATGCTATTTTGGTTGAAGAAAATTTGCCCTTCACATTCGCCCTGAAAGGGTCTCAGAAACTTCCAAGGGCCTTCAGACAACGTTTTGTGAACCTAGTATCTGAAAGTATTTTGTGTAGTTGGGAGATGAATGTCTTGCTTTTCAGAGGACTTCTGCCACAGGTTTAAGAGAGTGCTCCTTTTCATTTTCTCTTTTGAACCCTCTTTTTTTCTACATACTTTCCTAAAAAGAATTTAAATATAGATTGGACTTCTTTCAGGTATATTTTTGCATCTAATTTGTATGAATCTGACTGCATGAATGAAACAGAATGGACCATTTATCAAGATTGGCATGACTGGATGAATAACCAGTTTGGCCAAAGTCTTGAGCTGGATGGAATCATTTATCTTCGAGCCACTCCAGAGGTGAGACCCAATAAAGATTTGTTTGTTCCAGTACAATTGTAAATATTTAGGAATATTTTGAGTGGTATACAGGAAAAGCAATTTAGTTTAACTTTCCTCCCTACCCTCCAGCTCCTCACCTCCAAATTAGAAACATGTACGTAGATGGTTGTTTGGTTTCATTGCGTATGTTCTGACGTAGAGCGACCCTGTGTACAACAGAACAAGACACTGCCTGCTCCTGCCCTGTCCATGCAATGGTTCTTAAGTTTGAGCCCGTTATTGCAGCCACTGCGTTTTATAACTATGTAGATAGGTGCATTCTCTTTTCTCAACAAACTCCATGTTCAGATTTAGCAGGTCCTTCTCTTGTTTCTGTTTTATTTTGTTCATTATTTCTTTCTAAATATTGCTGGCTGTCTCATCTGTCACAGCTAGAGTAGAGTGAGTAACTTGCTCAAGCAATTCCTAGACAATCAAGAAGTGAGACTTTAGATAATTCACTTGTTGAATTTTAAATTCCTAGAATATGACATGGACATATAATAAAAGCACAGTGAATATTCTTAAATGGTAATTTTTTTTCTTTAAACAAAAATCATTTTATTAGGGGCTCATACAACTCTTATC